CCTGGGGTCGGAGGCGGCAATGGCAGCGTGTGGGCCGAGCTCTGAGGCGTCCCCTTCTCCTTGCAGGCAGCTACTTCTGCTATGACAACCCAGCTGCGCTCCAGACGCAGGTTCAGCGGGTGAGTAGCTGCGGGAACGGCATGAGGGAGACCCAGGGGGTGCGGGCTGTGGCCTGGGTGGCTCCGGACTGGAGGGGTGGTGTGTGAGGGGGTGCCTGGAGGACTCCAGGGTGGTGCCTGTCCCCAGTGTCATGTGGGCTTGTTCAGAATGTGTACTTATTTTGAAGTAGTTCTACTTAGGTACCACTTCTGTGTCTGTAATTACCTGAACAGGAATTACTTTTTAAATTCCCCTTTATGTAGGATATGAAGGTGAACACGGCTCAGTTCATGGCCCTCTATGCATGGTATTCCTGGCCCAACGTGGTTCTCTGCTTCTTTGGAGGATTTCTGATAGACAGAGTATTTGGAATACGGTAAGTCAAAGTGCATGTGAAATAGTTGATAGTACCACTTCTTCAAAATTTTCCACTACAAATGGATTTCCTTCCCTTTATGGCTTCAGTGAGTGGTTTCAAAAATGCCAGTCTGTGTCACCTATTTTTAACGAAGCTGTCAAGCTGTGGCTTTATTATAGAGAGGTTTTATTTCATAACAGTCCTCCCCCGTTTTCCTTGCTGCAGGCCTAATGCAGTGTTTTATAGGAAAGAAAGATTCTAGCTTATGCATTAAGTGATTTTATTTTTCTTACAGGTTGGGCACTATAATATTCAGTGTCTTTGTTTGTGTCGGGCAGGTAAGTGCAGATGAGAGGGTGAAGGATGGTGTTTCTGAAGTGTCTCTGCTAGGAGGGGTGGGAAAAAAAGCTCAACTGAAATGGGTGAACCCTGAATTGCACTGGGGTAATTGGGACCAGATGGGAGAACTGATGACCTCTAAGGATGAGTGAAATAAGAATGTGAAGGAATGAAGTGTTTTACCTGCTTGACGTGAAACTGCTGTGACGGTGTATTTGGGTAGGGTACGATGGTAAAGGTGAAGCATAACTTGAGTCTTTAGAGGTGTTTTCTGAGTGCAGTTTCAGGGTGGGCTGGGTTGGATGTTGTGTAGCCAGTGAGGTGATGCATTTGGCAGAGGGAGCAAAGGCAAAAAGCTACGAGTAGGAAGTATAGTAGTAGCTGGGAAGTATTTCTGCAGGTCTGGGAAGGGAAAAGCATTTTTGTTTCTGTTTTGAGATGGATCTAGTTTGTTCAGTACTTCAAATTTAAAATTATCTTTTTTTCCCCTTAATGTTTGTCTGCCAGGTAATTTTTGCTTTGGGAGCACTACTTAACACTTTCTGGCTGATGGACGCAGGCAGATTCATATTTGGGTAAGTCTAGAAGAGTTTGGTAAGTGCTCTCTGAGGTAAGGACCATCCTTCTGTGTCCTAGAAAACTGCTGCCATGTTTACAGTTGGAGACAAAAGTGTTGAGTTCTGAGACATCTGTAAAGTTGAGGCATGGAAGATCTTCAGTCACGTTTCCAGTCTAACTTAGAAAGCAAAAAATAGGACTTTGCAGATCTTACTGAATTCAGAAATCATGAAACCACTTAAAGAAATGCAGTAAACTGATAAAACTGTGTTAGTCCTTCTTTTCTCTTAATTCTTACTTTCCTGAGTTAAAAGAGCTCTTAGTGACAACAAATGCAACAGGACTCCTGTGGTGGCAAAAAAGCATGAGAGCAGATGTCAGCAGAAATACCTGCAAGTTGTGAATCTGCTGCAGCATTAAAATGTTAGAGAGTGACCAGCTCTACTGGGGAGCGGGCAGATGACTTAAATTCGGTTTTTGGTAAGATGTGTGGTTTTGGTTTAATTTGTGTCAGGATCTATACAACTTCGTTCTTTAATGCAGAAGAGAAATGAGAAGCTGCTGCCCATTGATTTGATTTTTGTAAATGACCAAAGGAAATTATAACTGCTCCTAGACAGCTTAAGATGCTTTATACTCTTAATTATTCTTAAGACACTGCAGTTCTCTTCTGATTTGTCTTTTAAGACCTCTGTTGCCTTGCATATATGCATTAGATCTACCTGTACATAGAGAAATTTCTTGGTATTGCCAGCAACCCATGGACTGCTTCCTCCTTGCTTTGCATGTTGCAATTCATGTGTTTTCTTTTGTGCCTTCCTTGTTTTTTAGAATAGGCGGAGAGTCCTTAGCGGTGGCACAAAACACGTATGCAGTCAGTTGGTTTAAAGGCAAGGAATTAAATCTTGTGTTTGGATTACAACTAAGCATGGCCAGAATTGTAAGTGTAAAAATGTGTAGCTTTAATTAATAGACTTTAAGGTGTGTGGTTTGTCCTGGCAGTGAGACAGGTGGAAAATAGCATTTCTAATGGTTCTAAAGGAGTTTTAGTTAAGAAGGGATATAAAATTTAAGTTTAAAATGTTAAAAATTTTTGGTAAATAGACAAAGGATACACAAGGAAAATGATTAATAAGACGACTTCTTAGAGTTTGTCAAACTTCTATAGGAGCCTGGTGGTGGTGGTAGTGTGGGTTACTGGGTGGGACAGTCATGGTGCTGCATTTCATCAGGCTCACTGATTCCTGGCATGCCAGGGGAGTAAGTGCAGGCTCTGATAAATGAGTAGGGATGGCTGCTTTAAGAAACTCCCATCCTTATCTGCTATTGTAGAGTGTCTTGTCCCTGTTGCTGGTTCTGATAGGAGCTGTGTGACTGCATCTCAGCTCTGCCGTGTCAGTTTGATACAATCACTTAAACTGCTGCTTCAGGTGGGTTTGCACTAATACACTGGACTGTGAATGGAGAGAGTGGAGATGAAACTCTCCTGCTAGGGGTCCTCTTCAGCAGCTTGTAGTGTCTTCAACTACTGCAGGTGGTTACAAGCTGATCACAGCAGCATCTGGGTCCCTGTTCAGGCTATAGTTAATTAGCAGTTGCCTCATCTCAGCTGAACTGTAGTTAATGCCTGTTGTTAGCCTGGGGCTTGCAGCCATGGGTCTCCTCTCTAGGAGGAGGGGATGGGGGGAAAGAAAGTGTTTTTTCCAGATGCTGGTCAGGTGGGAATCCTGTTTGCTTTAATGTGTGGTACTCAATTCAGTTGAGTTTGAGCTAATGCAGTGTATAATGTGGATTTTCTGGCACTTCTGATGTCTCTCTCAAACACTGTTAGAGTTGTATGAAATGTCAGTTTGCGATGGTATATGTTGTTGTAATGGTTAATTTATTACACGAACACGGCAGGGAATGATTTGATCATTGTTGCTAGTGGTTTTTGTTCCTGTGTAGCATCTTACCTGTTTGTTTTAAACACTGGTCAATAATCAGTCTGCCTAATGTTCCTTTTGAATTCATATAACTGTGAAATACGTTATTCTTCACATGAGTCTGTTCTGCCTAGGGGAGCACAGTGAACATGAATATCATGGGATGGATATACTCTAGAGTTCAAGATCTTCTGGGCTATACTGGTCCCAGTACTCTTGGGTTAACTCTCATGATAGGTCAGTAATATTTTGAATTTGTCACCTGCTATTTTAGGCTTCTGAATTTGAACAGCGTGCATACATGTTAATGATTTCTTACTAACTTGAAAGTAGGACAAATATATTTGAGACTGGAAAGAGCAATTCCAATACTGTTTGTATCAATTGCTAGTATTCTTATGCAGAAAATAATACACAGAGTTACTGTGCCTGGTAAAATGCTGTGTGAGTTTTGTGGTTCCCAAATTCAAGTATGTATCATACGGAGATGAAACATTTAACGTGCCTTGAGTAAAGGACAGACTTGAAAAATTTTCTGGAGGGTATCACGTCAAAGCTTGTGTGTAGCTGTCTGATGTGTAAAAGTGAAATTTCAACTACCTTTGGGTCAGTGTTTCCTTCAGAGCCATGGGTGGTAGGGCCCTGGTGTTGGTAACAAGGCTCAGGCTTTGTTTCTGTTACTGCAAGATACTGATAAGGAGCTCAGCTGTGCTGAGTGGGAGTGCTGGTAATGCTTTAAATAAAATAAATATATCTACATGTTTGAGCTCTAATTCAAGGCAGATGTGTGCAGGGTTCAGTATTTACACCTTACTCTGAGTTGTGCAGCTACTGAGTCTTATAAGACAGGCTGTGTTAAACTTAGCTCGTATTAGATATGTAAAGGTATGCTATGCTAGTTGTGCTTAGTTGTGCTTGTGGAGATAACAACTAAAGATGTCTCATTGCCTTCTTGCAGGTGGTGTAACGTGTCTCTTGTCACTGACCTGTGCGTTAATCCTTGCTTATCTGGACAAGAGAGCAGAGAAGCTGCTTTGTAAAGAGCAGGGGAAAACAGGTGAGTGGGGTGTCTGAACCTCCCGTGGGCTTCATTCTTTACAGGTAAATGCACTATAATGTCCTTTACTTAAAGTTCACACCAGTTTGGTCTGTGTCATTGCCACTGGTGCTTTGCTTTGTTGGAATTGGTCTTATTTACTTTAATAGGTATGCAAAAACATGCAGTTCTTCTACATCAGTGTGTGGTGCTTTCAGTTTTCTCTGTGGGAGAATATAGACCAATTAAAAATAAACTTAATTTGAGATCCAAGTGAGAGCATGTAACATGAGGCTTCAGACACGAATTTCACTGACTGATTGAACACTTCCTTGAGAAAGTGGTTTATATTTAATTCTGCTGCAGAAGACTTTCAGAGGCTTTAGAGAGCCTCTATATCCAGCTTAACGTGGATGAGACCATTTGTTCTTGACTTTGGCACTGTTGATTCAGGACTTGTGTATTCTTAACTGACTCTCACTGTGTAAACCTCAAACAAGAGAGCAGATAGTGGCAGGAGTATATGCTTTAGTAGTGACTTTTGATCATCCTAATCTTTTTTCAGTGTGGATGAATTTCAGATGTGCTTATGCTGACTGAAACAATTTTGCCTCTTGCCCTGCTCCAGGTGAAGTGATTAAGCTGACCGATGTGAAGGACTTTTCTCTGTCCTTGTGGCTTATATTTGTCATCTGTGTCTGTTACTATGCAGCGGTTTTTCCTTTCATTGGACTTGGAAAGTAAGTGTCTCACATAGCTATTCCCCCTGAATTGGGCTAGGGTTTTAACTATTATTTTGGCTACTTACAAAGGGAGAGGCGTGGGCTAAAACATCAGAATCCCAGATGATGGTCTCCCAGCAAGTCTGTGCTGTGGTTTCTCACTTCTGTGGCATTGTTTGCTGTACTTGTACAAATTAACACGACTCTTAGTTTTCTTATCTGCTGAGCTGTGTTGGGAAATACCATTGCTTAGCATGGGCTGAGTTGTCAGAACTCAAGAGCATAAATGCATGCTCCGTTTCTTGATTAAAACTGCATACAGATTTAAAGCACAGCGTGAGTTTTGGTGTGGGACAGCTGTCACATAGAATTCATTTCATACTCATAAGCTATTGACTGAGTGCAAGGTAGGGACTTAAATGTAGTTACAGCTTTGGGCTGAAGTTCTCTTGCTGTGCTGGCTTTGCTATCAAGTTGAAACCTGAAGCATTCACCTGGAGGTTTCCCTTTGGAACCACAAGACTTGATCTCACAGCTCAGTCAAATGGGTTTTGAGTATGTTTGGAATTAGAAACAGATCTCTTGAGCTCAATCCATGTTTGATGTTGAGGGATATGGAAAAGTCAGAGGTGACTTGGAAAGGCCTCAGTCAGCACTGCAGATGCCTTTTTATTGCTTGTGCAGATATCCTAAAAATCCTCACTTTGGTCTCTTACAGAATGCTCATTGCTAATGTCTAATTCTTGGGTTATGTGTTGGTTACGTACTTTGGTCTCTTACAGAATGCTCATTGCTAATGTCTCATTCTTGGGTTACGTGTTGGTTACGTACTTCGGATGTTTTCCCCAAAGTGTAATTTTAATAG